TCATGGAAGCACTTTAGGAGGCGAGACATGGGGCACGACCTGCAAGGATGAATTCTTATCCCCAGCCTCTCCTTTCACTCTGCTTCCTGGCTGCTGTGGGTTGAGCATCCTTTTCTTTCACCATGCCCCTCTGCCATCTGTTTTTGCCTGGAGTCTGCCAAACTGTGGGCTGAAACTGTGAGTCAAAATAAACCTCTTTTCAAGTTGTAGGCATCAGGTACTGTTATAGTGACAGGAAAGTGATTTAGTCTAGGTAAAGGCTTGCTTCTTTTCAAAGAACCAACTCTGTTGTGTTGATCTTTTCTATTTATTTTTTCTGCTGTCATTCTTATTTTCCTTCTACTAATTTTAGGTTAAGTTGTTCTTGTTTTTCTAAAATTCTTAAGATGTATAAAAGGTTATCTGAATCTTTGTTTTGATACTGGCATTTCTTGTAAAGTTCCCTCTTAATAATGTACTGCTTTGGCTCCATACAAGTTTTGATATGTGTTTTACTTTGAGAAATCTTAAAATTTCTCTTCTCCGACTTCCTCGGTAACCCAGTTGTTTTGAAATGTATGCTTTCAGTTTCTGTGCATTCTATGTACAAAAATGTCCCTTGCTGTCCAGCTTTATGCTATTGTGATAAAGATACAGAATATTATTTCAAATTTATAAATTTGTTGAGACTAATTTTGTGGCCTAATGATGACATATGATAGACAAACTTATATGCACTGACACAAAGAATGTGTATTCTTCAGCTTTTAAGAGGGAATATTCTATACATGTCTATAAACAATATAGAGTTTTAAAACCTGGATTCTTTCTGTTCATTGGTGGTTGAGGATGTTGATCTGCCGTTATTGCTGTATTGGAACCTGTCTTTCCCTGTGTAATAGTTTGTTTTATAAAGTTGAGTGATCCATCATTAGGTGCATAGAGATTTTGTAACCCTTGTTGTTTTGGCACTTTGTTTCTTATAGTTTTTGTCTTAAAAGTCAATTTTGTTTGAAATAAATATAGCCATTCATGCTCATTTTACTGTTCCAGATACTTCAAGTATCATTTTTTCTTTTTTTTGTTTTTTTGAGACAGGGTCTCACTATGTATATGTAGTTGAGACTGACCTGGAACTCACTATGTAGCTCAGGCTGATCTCGAACTCACAGCAATCCTCCTGCCTCAGCCTCCCGAGTGCTGGGATTACAGGTGTGTGCGCCCCCACGCCCGGCCCAAAGTCAAGATAATATCTAACGAACTCACAAATCCTCCTGCCTCAGCCTCCCGAGTGCTGGGATTACAGGTGTGTGCCACCACGCCCGGCCTCATTTTTTATTCTCCAAGTGTGTGTGAATTTTGTAAAATAAGATTCTTGTAGTGCCTTGTCTTTTAATACATTCAGGCAGCTCTTAAATTGTAATTAGGTAATTGTCTGTTTATAGTCGAGGTTACTGACATATAAGGACTTGATTCCTGTCATTTTTTCTAGTTGTTTTGTGTATTTTCTGTTCCTGCTACATCTTTGTGATTTTATGATCTACTGTATTGATGTTAGATTCTTCTCTAGATCTCGCTTAACCACTCTTCTTGTGGGATTCACACTTTGACATGCTTCCTTGATTGTTACCTTTCCATCACTTTTAGATGTAGGCGTGCCTTAATCATGTTTTGAAAGGCTTGTCAGGTGATTATAAATTCCATTTTTGTCTTAGAAAGTCTTATATAGTAATATTGATTTTCTTATATAGTAATATTGATTTTCTTTCAAGGCTTAAAATGTGGCAGTCCATTTCCTATTTGCCTGTAGGACTTCTGCTGAGAAATCCTTGGTTAGTCTAATGGCGGGACCCTTAAATGCAACTTGTTTCTCTTGTACTTTTGGCAGTTTGGTTGCAACATGCCTGCTAAATTCTTCTGGTCATGTCTGCAGTGCTATAAACATCCTATACACGGAAGGTGTTTTTAAAATGTGGGTGTTTGTTCACTTAATGGTGTAAGTCTTGAATTGGGAGACTTCTGGCTGGGATATTTCAACAGTTCTGTTTTCAAATTCTGATATTCTTTGGCTTGATCTAGTCTGCTGTTAGGGCTTTCAACTGTATTTTTTATTTGACTTATAGAGCAGTTCATTTCCAAAGTTCCTGACTGGTTCTTTTCAAAATTTGTCTCTTTGCTGAATTTCTCATTCATATCCTTCACTGTCTTCCAACTTTTACTTTTTTAACTGTTTTATGTATATTCTCTTGGCTTTCACTAAGCTTTTTAGTAATCGTTCTCAAATTATTTCTCAGGTGTTGCATTGGAACTCTGTTGCTGGAAGTTATATTCTTGTGGAGGTATCATACTGCCTTTTTTCATATTTCTTGTCTTACATTGAGATTTGTACATCTGGTGGATCAGGTATCTCTATCATTTTCATGGGGAGGTTCTTTCTCCTGGAAATTTGTCGTGAGTGTGTGTTTGTTATGCAGTGCTGGTGTTGATTTGTAGTCTCCCTATAAGCTGTGCTTAATGCCCTTGGGCACAGTGTATACATGGTACAGTAGGTGGTCTACTGTCTGTGTAGGCTGTGCAAGAGTGGAGACTTCAGCATTTCGGGCAGGTGTGGTGCAGGCAGCAGTAGGTATGGAAAATTCACTTTGTGGGTTCCCCTGCATTGGGATTGGTGGTCCCTACAAAGTCAAGAGTGCTTTCCTTGGGCATTGATTCTGGCTCAGCAACTAGCAAGGGCACTTGGCCTTGGCAGTACCAGTCACTGTGCACAGGCTGAAGCACTTGACTGACGTCAGTGGTGGGAGTCCAGATGCTGCACAGAGAATAGACGTGACAGAAGGAGCCTTGGCGTTCCTCTCTGCCACTCTGGTAACACTGCCCACCCAGGAATAGAAACGTGGCCCCACCCAGCCAAAGCTGCACCCATTCACACCAGGTAATGCCACATACTCCCAAGGAAGAGTGACAGCTAGAGCCATTGAGGTGCTGAAGGCCCTTAGTCTAAGTGTGCCCTTGTGGACAGGGCCATTGGGGTCCGTGGAATTCTTTCCCGGCCTTGTACAGTGATAGGTACTTAAGTGCAGGGAGTAGCAGGAACCACATGGGTGCCTTTCATTCCTGCCCACAGTCCACACATGCCTGGTCATACCATTTGTCTCAAAGGGCAAACACACGGATCTGTTTCCTGAGTGTGGGGCCATCAGTTCTCCTACATGGCAACACACGTCACCTATAGCAGTGGTGGTGAACCTATGGCACACATAAAAGCCTGAAAAGGTTCACCATCATTGACCTACACACAGTAGAGAACACCCAGTGGGGTTTAGGTCATAGTTATTACGCTGAGCTGAATTCCTGAGGCAGCTCCACCACCCACAGCAGTCAGAATAGGGAAATGACCACAGGGTCCCAGAGAGGAGCACACCTAGGGCTTTCTGACCCCTCAAGCAGCCCAGACTCAGCCAGCAGTTTGCAAGATGTCTCCTGGCTACAGCACCCTGCGTGTTTGCTGCGAGATGGGAGAACCTCTTGCAAAACAGGGCTACTGGTTTGTAAGAGGGTGCGAGCTTGAGAGGATTGGGAACCTTCCCAGTAGGTGTGATCGCCAGGCTCCACACTACTGACAGAATTTGCTAGGACTCTGCTAGGACCCTGACCCTTACACAAAGGGGACACTCTCTTTGTTGGCTCTGGAGCTGAGGTGGCAAGATACTGGGGTATTTTGTTTCTCCTACTCTGCTGTTATTAATTTCCAGTGTTCCCCCTTATTCACTCACCTCAAAATGCAGCAATAACCTTGTTACTCTGGTTTTTCTTTGTAGAGGAGTAAGTCCTGGGCATTTCTATTCTGCCATCTTAAATCCCACCTCTCCGTCTTGTAATATGCATCCAAAAGAATTTTTTTGGCAGGGATCCTTTGAGGTACTATATTTGGATCTCTAGTATCTTCTCCCAGACTTAGAAAGTTTTCAGATCAGTAGTTATATTACTGGGCAGAGTGGTACATGCCTGTAATCCCAGCTCTCAGGAGACTGGGGCAGGAATATCACCATAAGTTTGAGGTCAGCCTGAGCTACATAGTGAGACTTTTTCTATAGCTCTTCTCCTGGAACCAAAAGTATGAAAGTTTGCTGGTTTAATCATATCTCAGAAGTCTTGAAGGCTCTACTTTTTAAAAAAATATGGCTGGGATATTACAAAACTTTTATCTTCAAGCTCTGTAGTTGTTTTCTTCTGCCTGGTCAGTTCTGTTGAGACTCTCAGATGTATTTTTAATTTCACTTATGGAGTTTTTAACTCCATATTTTTTGTGCTCTTTGCTATATTTATTTTATGAATTGCCTTCCTAATTATTTTAAAAACCTTCTACTTACCTTATTTTTGGCATTGGGGATTGAATCCATGGCCTTCACCCCGCAAGTTCGTACATGTACATAACACATCTTGATTCTTCCTTGTGCCCTCCCCTCCCCTTCCGCAACTGTTGATCCCCCTCCCAACTTGATAAAGCTCGATTTCCATTTTCTTCAATTCTCTTTCCCCTCCATCTCCTGTTGCCTTTCCCTTTTGAAAAAGCTCTCTCCTCCCTATGACCTATCCTTTATTTTGCTCTGTATATTTCAGGAAACCATGCGACAGATAAACTTGTGTTTATCTGATTTATTTCACTTAACATTATAGTCTTAAGTTGCATCTGTTTACCTAAACATGTATCACATTTATGTTTAAGGCATTGGGTATAAATATCGCATTCTCTTTATCCATTCATTTCTAGACATATTTAGCTATTATAAATTGTGCGGCTATAATTATGGGTGTGCATGTCTCACTGTAATATAACTCTTTTGGGAAGATTCCTAGAAGGGAAGTAACTAGGTTGAACAGATTTTTTTTTTTTTTTTTTTAGGAAG